AATAACTCATGTTTGTTTCCTAGAAGACACGAATACCAGTGAAAAATGAAGATGATTAATGATTAATGTCCAAATCTACATGTCCTGGAAAGCCAACGTGTCAACAAGCGTTCCATTGAATAATAGAAGAGCTGTTCATCTGAATACGTCGAGGCCATATGATGCTTTACACAGAACATCAGGCCCACGTACCACAACCTCAGCGCATAAACATCTGATCCGTAGACGAAGCTGCGTCCGACTTCGTTCCTGCAGAATATAAGGATTCCATTGTCACGAAAGCTTCTGCTTCATACATCACGCGGGAATAATTGAAGAAATGTGTTTCCCCCCAATCGAGGACGAGAAAACCCTTCAAAGATGTTTTATTTAGAGGTCAAACGCGGAGCAGGACGTTTGTGCGATGGGGGCTCCCGAGCAGTGAGGACGTCGGTGATGGACGGGGACAGCGGGACAGGCTTTGATGTCTCTGAAATACAGCTCCGGGCCCGAACACAGTTAAAGTGATGAATGGGGGAAAACGTCTCTGGGTAACATTAAATGGCATTGGCAGTGTATCGGGTAGGAGTTTTGTCCAAGAGGATGAAAAAGTGGAATTATGTGAAACTGCGACTCGATACTGAAGGCTACGTGTGCACGAAGACGTCAAAGTGCCGTCACTCACTCTGCTGAACACAATCCCTCGCTGTTGTCCATTAAACATCATGTTATTTATTCCGTATTCAGATTGGAAACAGCTGGCACGCGACTTTCAACGAAAACCTCTTTCCTTCTGGCTGGCGGGAAGAACGGCGATGCCTCCTTCGTCGATCCGCCACTGAAACACGTGAGCGGCCAACCGGACCGCCGTCGCATGCAAATACCGTTGATGACCGCGGAGCTGCACGGAGGGGCCCTCGGGGGGGGCGCCGATCAGCGCGACGCAGCTTCGTGTTGGCGTTTTAGCTTCAGCGCTCACCTTAACGCGCGCTATGCCGTCTCGTCTTCATCGACTACAACTGGAATAAGCGCATTCAACAGCGTTGCAGTAACCGTCAAGTCAAATGTTGAAATGGAAATTCATTTGAATAAAACAGAAAAACACATTTTTAATGCTCAAACCTAAATAAATAGTTGTTCCTCTTATCTCTTTGAGCTTTGCGTTGCTGTTTCAAATTGTTGCCTTCAAGTGAGTAAGTTGGACGGATGTGGGAGGCGCACATCAGCCTCTTTAAATGACTCCTTTGTTTGTGAGCCGGTGCCAAACCCTGGACTCCTCCACCCGTCCCTCGTGCATTCTGGCTGAACAACGACACCACACATTTGGATGAAGGCCATGAGCGCGCACGCCAGACGACAGGGCGATGGAAGGGGAATTCCTGAGCTGGGTGCGTAGGTGGAGGTACCTGTTTCAGTCGACGTCCTTCGGGCACGGACTTTGTTCACCGCAAACACGCAGCCAACTCAAAGAGTTTCAGTCATGTTTTGCAACGGAAACGTCTCTTTCCCGTCTGCCAGGCGAGACTCGCGGTCCTCGCCCTCACCTCGATGAGGTGGCACGCGCTCCTAATGGGCGTCGACATCACGCATGCCACTGAGTCTTTGTCAGCTTTTCAACGCGTCATTCGAGGCGGCGCAGCGGCAGCTAACGGGCAGTTAGTCCCACAGGTGGCGGGGAGATTACAGCGGGAGCCGCACACATTCTTGTAGTTTGGACGTCGTCCACTTCTGGAAGCCAGTGAAGACTGAAAAGGCCGCTGCCAACGAGTGCAAAAGCTAAACATGGACGTTTGGGTCGTGCCAACGCCGTTCACCACGATGTGTTTTAATGATTTAATAACGATTGGTTCCATTAGATCCTCGCAGGGTGTCTCTGTCAGGAGGCAGTGCAAAGAAAAGAAACACACAACACGATTAACTATATATATGTTATATTATACTATGTCTATGTGTGCATGCATGCTTGCATGCTTGCGTGCGAACTAAAATCTTTGATTCACCAGCCCAAATACTAAAGAGTCACCGCCCACTTCCTCTGTGGTGCTTTTTGGTACAATGCATGTGGATGTAAACACCAGTTCCCTAAATTAGATCAAACAATGACTCTGAGCCGCTGTGTAAGCTGAGGACAGCATGTGGCTGTCCCACGACGGACTCGTCTCTGGGTTGTCTCTGCCGTGCCTCTCGTCTCATGTCCCACACACAGATCTCCCCCTGTCACCGTGGAGGTCCAGTCGCTAAGTGTGAACATTGGTGGAGGAAGCAGGCTATTCTGATATGTATTACTGTACCACAGTGTGAAAGTACAAGCATAATAATATAAGTATCATTTAATTATCTCGAAAAAAGAAAGCGTGACAATGTTTGAGGGTCTGGTTCGATGCCTCAATTTCCAGAAGACGTTTTTATTATTCTTAGTTTTAAGGGGCATTTTTTTAAGAAGCGGACATTTGTTCTCTCACCGAAACAAAAATTTTTTGGGCGACACCACATAAAACACGGGGGAGAGGGATGCACAGTCTCCCCCGGAAATTTCCCCCTGCAGGAACGTCCCCTGCAGATATGTCCCCCTGCAGGAACGTCCCTCTGCAGATATGTCCCCCTGAAGAAACATCCCCCTGCAGATATGTCCCCCTGCAGGAACGTCCCCCTGCAGATATGTCCCCCTGCAGGAACGTCCCCCTGCAGATATGTCCCCCTGCAGGAACGTCCCCCTGCAGATATGTCCCCCTGCAGGAACGTCCCCCTGCAGATATGTCCCCCTGCAGGAACGTCCCCCTGCAGATATGTCCCCCTGCAGACGTCCCCCTGCAGTTATGTCCCCCTGTAGGAACGTCCCCCTGCAGATATGTCCCCCTGCAGGAACGTCCCTCTGCAGATATGTCCCCTGAAGAAACATCCCCCTGCAGATATGTCCCCCTGCAGGAACGTCCCCCTGCAGATATGTCCCCCTGCAGGAACGTCCCCCTGCAGATATGTCCCCCTGCAGGAACGTCCCCCTGCAGATATGTCCCCCCTGCAGACGTCCCCCTGCAGTTGTGTCCCCCTGTAGGAACGTCCCCCTGCAGATATGTCCCCCTGCAGGAACGTCCCTCTGCAGATATGTCCCCCTGAAGAAACATCCCCCTGCAGATATGTCCCCCTGCAGGAACGTCCCCCCTGCAGATATGTCCCCCTGCAGGAACGTCCCCCTGCAGATATGTCCCCCTGTAGGAACGTCCCCCTGCAGATATGTCCCCCTGCAGGAACGTCCCTCTGCAGATATGTCCCCCAGCAGGAACGTCCCCCTGCAGATATGTCCCCCTGCAGGAACGTCCCTCTGCAGATATGTCCCCCTGAAGAAACGTCCCTCTGCAGATATGTCCCCCTGAAGGAACGTCCCTCTGCAGATATGTCCCCCTGAAGGAACGTCCGCCTGCAGATATGTCCCCCTGTAGGAACGTCCCTCTGAAGATATGTCCCCCTGCAGGAACGTCCCTCTGCAGATATGTCCCCCTGTAGGAATGTCCCCCTGCAGATATGTCCCCCTGCAGGAACGTCCCTCTGCAGATATGTCCCCCTGCAGGAACGTCCCCCTGCAGATATGTCCCCCTGCAGGAACGTCCCCCTGCAGTTATGTCCCCCTGCAGGTACGTCTTGCCATCAGAGGGGACAAGCGAGACCTAATGTTGCAGCTTATTGTAGAGAAAACAGTTTGCTGAAACCACTTCAAAAGAACCAGCGGAATATTGAGAGAAAGTATGATTCATGACCTGAGGCCAAGCATTCATTATGGGTAAATCATTAAAGCGAGAGTACGTTTAACTTGATTTATCTGATGAAGCTTTACGGCGCTGCCGTGAGTAATGGACTCACAAACTGTAGTCAGGAAAAACTAATGAAATTAGAATTTGAAATTTGCTTTCATTTGAATAGGCAGGCAGGCACCGGTGCAAATGGCAAATGGATTCGTCTGCGTAGCTCCATGTTTGATGTATTTAATCAGTTCACACTATACCACATTATACCAAGTCCATCAATACATTGATGGCACATTGCACACCAGCCCGTCTGCAGGGGAGTCATTTCTCCGTGTCGTGTTATTGTGGAGAGAGAGATGCCTTTATAGCGTTGGCGATTAGGAACACATTTTGGCCGCGATATAACAAACATATCACAGCCTTAAAAAGACCAACATTAGTCACAGTGATGAGATATCTGCAAGAAGGTCAGTTGGTGAAGGAACAAGGCTTTGCTGGATGAGAGTTTATCGTTACACCTCCTGATTCCTCAGGTGGATGCGATCACATTCAGCCGTGTGATTTCTAAACAAACCAGGAACCCGGCGAGGGCAGATCCCACGCTTCAGACGATGGGATGGCTTATCAAGGGACGCATTTCACTGTAGAGACTCATAACAAGATCAGTCACACAGTGCGCAAATATGACGTGTGCATCTGTGAGGTGAATGTTGGTGTAATATTACAGCCTCCAGTCAATGGATCCATCGGTGATTCAGCGGTTGTATTGTTCAGTGCTGTTTTTTGCATGTTTGTTTAGCTGCACGGATGTTTACTGTACTGATTGTGGGTTGAAATTGTAGATGTCATCTATGGCATGATCATGCAATTAGGTAAATATTGGTTGAATCCTACAAAATAAATTAAACTGGTGGAAATGATGTGGAGGTTTGATTACAGCAGCGTCACATTCTAATCTAAATACCACAGGAACATTTATTATTGTATGTAAAAATGTTAACATTTTTCTATGGAGGATATAGAATATGATCCAATAATATGTCATTTAAAAAATAGCTCCATATGTGCGAGTATAATTGCTTTTGTGGGCTTTTGTCAGAAAAGTGTTGCTTCAGGAGAGAACAACAGCACAGAACTTCCTGCGCAATAATAAGAGACTGAATATTTAAGAGTTGTGAAAGTTAGTAATTTAATTTAAATAGACACGACACATACACAGCATATTACAAAACACATCGTATCATGTCCATCATCCTCTATGATTCTTGTTCTGGCTTTTCCGACTGCATGTGAAGGCAGCACGCGTGCGTCGCGCGCAGACTCAGTTCACGGTCGCGTGCATCAGTTTTCCCGCGATAAACGTAACAAACTGAGGAGAAGCAGGTAAAGAACACAAGTAACCTTCATTTAAACGGGAAACGTTGTAGTTAGTGATTTTAATTTGATGTAATGAATTCCCCACCATGTGGGGAGGTGATATAACAGTTAGAAAGTCAGCTAGCTAAAATTAAAACATTATCCTGGAGACACTATTAACGTTAGCTAACGTTAACCTCCATTAACATTAATGCTAACAGCTTAACTTAGCTAACGTTAGTTACAGAACCGTTTACTGTTTTAAGGCTCGTTTCCACTATTGTGTAACGTTTTAATCTTAGAAACACTGTATGCCGGGAAGAATTAAACCACAACTATTAACTTAGTTGTTATCTGTGACAGAGACAGTTTTAACTGTGTGGAGGCTTTACTTTATGAATAAAAATGGCTGCTCAGACCTACATCTCCATCTCTGAGCTCCACCCCAACTTCTCCCACCCGGTGAGTGCAGGTCGTCCTTACTCCCTTAAAACAAAATCAATATAAGTATCTATGTATTTGAACAGGTGTCTGCACACACTGCCCTTGTCGTGTTTTGCAGAGAGTGGCAGGCATCATTATTGGGAAAACTGATGTCAGAAGCTTTCCTGACAGAAAAAGTAAGTATTTCTTTACATTTGTGCAGCTGTCAAAGTCATCGTCATTGACACGTCCTGTTTACAGCTTTGTGCCTCTGCGTCTTGTGCAGCAGCTCCCTCTTCTGGAGAATAGATGTATATACGAAACAACGCACACGCGTCCTCGGCGCTGTAATGCAACATTAACTGAATCCGTACATCTGAATTCCAGATGTTGGTGTAGACAGATTCACTTTTAGCTTCACCATTAAGGACTCACCTGACTTCTTTATTAACGTGTCGGCTTGGGGAAACGACGGATACATCAACGGGCTCTCCAACGGCTTCAGCACTGGAGACTGTGGTGAGGATGCGTTCATTACTCACCAATATCAATATTAGTAGACAAAATAAAGCTTTGGTCAGTTTGTGATTTTGATTTGTTTACCCGCAGAATGAAAATAAGGTAGCAACAGAAAAAGGATATTTTTTGTCAACTTTCAATGACTGAAGGTTTGATGGCGCACAAAACTGTTTCTTATTATTTTCCAGTTATCATTGAAAACCCTTTAGTCACCAACAAAGACCCAGACAAAGGGGACAGATACTGTCCCACAACACCGAGGTAATTCACACATTCAATACGTGATCTGCAGATCAATCAATCAATCCTGTGGTGCTTCCACACAGCCGAAGGGTAGTGAGGTTCACACAATGTAATGCTGTGCATCATATGATATATCTGAATGGTTCTGCTGTCCCAGCCTCTACAGGCTGCTGGTGTCCGAGGCTCATTCCCAGGTGTGTCTGTGTGCCGACTTGGGAACCATCGACAGGCTGCTGCCACTGATCCACCTGCCAGTGAAGGACTCCCGTGATTTCTACTCTCTGGCAGACATTGTGGCCAACGGGCAGAAGCTGGATGGCACAGTGATAAACATACTGGCTGCAGTGAAGTCGGTAAGGTGGCAATATGCTCATTTCAGATGGAAAATGGACAAACTCCGTCCACGTGACACGTACAGCGTATAATCTAGCTTTAAATATTACAACTGCACAGATAATGAAGACTTAGCAAGTGTGGATGCAAAACAATAACTATTTTTCAGGTTTCTCCAGGAAGGGGAGAGAACGTGATGGTTCTGTTTACGTTTTCAGATTGGAGAGCCGAAGCAGTTCACCACGTCTGACAGGCGCGAAGGGCAGCGGCTGGAAGTGAAGCTCTTTGACGACTCCGTCTCTTCCTTCCCGCTTGTCTGGTGCGTCACGCTGTTTCATTCCTTTGGAAAATGAATAAAGATGGATTGCTTTCGTGTGATACTTCATCCCCTTCGCCCCTTTGGCTCCCTGCTGTGTGTCTTTATGTTACCACAGATTGACTTTGGAGTCATGAACCTTTGGATTAACCTGCTGAACTCCATGTGTGTTTGATATTCACTGAGTGCCTGTTTGACCTCTGTTTCACTCACAGCTGGGATAGAGAAGCCATTCAGCTTGTGCAAACGCTGATACCCAAGGAGACTGGTGGGTAACAGCTGCTGCCCATTTCCAGCCACAAAACAAACCTTGATTTAACTTTTATTCCCGCCGGTCACGTCCCGTTAACACACCGTACCGGAGAGAAACACCGAGGTGCACATCTCAGACGTGACTGTGTGTTTACGTTGTTTTAACTTCTTCTCTCCACTCAAAGTGCTCTTCATATCAGATGCAAAGATCAGCTTTGACAGCTTTCGCAGCGGCATGACGGCAACCGTTAACTCGAAAACCATTATCACCGTCAATCCTGGTGAGAGATCACAGCGACGCAAGCAAAAGCATGCGCTGTAATGTATAACTGTATGCGCAAGTAATCAAAGAACAAGGTTTTTAGCCACGGGTTAGTGTTAGCTGGGGGGGGGTATCGTCTAACTGCTGTGCAAATCATTCATCTATTCCCTCAGACACCAGGGAGGCCAGTCTGCTGTTCAGCTATGCTAAAGAAGTGTCTGAGTCTGGCGCTCTGGATCAAGATGAGAAGCCAGAAGACGTGCCTGGTAGCTCATAGCGACCAGCTCTCCTCACTGCATCTTCACTGTGAAACTAAGGCGACGGTTCCCTCATGTTGGACTTTTCTTTCTCTCTTGGCTATTTCCATTATGATGTGAAGTGACTGTTCCCTCCTTTGCGTTACTCCTCGCGCTGCATTACGTGATGACACTGTGACGATGCCTGTGTGTGATGACGTGCACTATGTGGTGCTGCCTGTGTCTCTGCAGTAGACTCCATCACCGACGTGTACACCGTGAGCCAGCTGAAGCACAAGGCCCAGGAGAACCCCGAAGCTTTCTTTGGCATCACGTACAGCTTCGTCTCCAGGCTGGATCTCGACTCCTCTGTTTCCAAAGTGATCAAAGCGCGTTGGTAAATTGTTGCTGCTTTCACGTTTTTTTCCTCCGCAGCTCCGACGCTTCACTGCACTTTGTTGAGCGAGTTTATCTTCTACTGGTGATGTTTCCCTCGTCGTCTCAGCTCCAGGTGTAAGTTCCTGGTGACTGAGGACGCTCAGAGCTGCAGCAACGCGTCGTGTCCGGGGAGGGATCAGCCTCTTTCGGCCACCGCAGGCTTTGACCTGCTGGTGGACTTCACGGACCACACGGGAACCCTGCAGGCCTGCAGCCTCAGGAGCCCAGTAGCTGAAAAGACTCTGGGCTGTACGGTGGGGACCATCTCAAAGGACCAGCAGGGTTCGGCCTCAACTCCACACGCAGCAGCTCCCGTGTTCAATAATAAGATCAACGCTACTTCTTTCCTTCCTGCTGTAGACGGAAGAGTTCACCCGTCTGACCGATGACGAGCGGACTGTGATGAAGTGGAGATTTCTTTTGGAGAGATGCAAAATATACGTGAAGGTATCGAGGCTTTTAAATGACTCGCCGCGTTCGCTGTGAAATCAAGTCATAAGCTGACACATTCTTACGACACGTTACAGATAGTCCCCTCCGCCAAGCACAGGTCCGGGACCAGGGGGGTGCTTCTGGACTGCTGCCTGGCCGACCCAGGAGAGGTGAAGCAGCACATGTCGGCCCTGCTGCAGCGGCCGTGATCACGGCACACAGAGACAAGGCCGGAGAGCCGCTTCCCCTGCTGACACGCTCGCTGTATTATTTATTTATTTATTTATTTATTTGAACCTGTTCACATATTTATATTTAGGAAAGTACCGTTGGCTTGACTACTTTTTATATTTGTTCAATAAACTTAACTTATACGTTTAATATGTCACGTGTCAAATGTATCAAAACACCATTCTTCATTTTCACAATTCATATTCTGATTGAACATTGTAATTAAAGTTACTGTTGTCATATTTACCGGTGTGCATTTTGATTAAATCATTATGTCACTGGAGCAAAGTCTTGTGCTGTTGGTGATATGTCGGTATAGATTAACTGCATTTTATAAAGGTTTTTCTAATTTGCAGAATTCTATTTTGCACCATTATAAACATTGTTGGTTATTTAATCAATAATAGAACAATACAGAGTAATTTCCAACAGCACAACCAACTACAATGTGTTATAAATAGTTTGATGAATAAGTGGACATATTAAACCTTTAAGGCTGCGCTCCGTTTGTCCGGTGATAAAACCAGTCAGCAGGGGGCAGCAAAGTGCTGGTTATCAAAGCGGAACCTTTGAGTCTTCGTATGTTGCTCCGGAACACTTTAGGGAGACGTACGGATATCTACCGTCAACACAACACCGAAAGGTAAACTAAACCTGTCCGACATATTCTGTTAACTTATCGTAACTGTCATACATAAAATCACACAGTGACAAATCTTTAGTTACATTTCACAGCCTTTGAAGTTGAAACGCTGGCTAAGCTAACTGCCTGTTTGGACCTTGAATAGTTAGCCTGCTATGCTAACGCTAGCCTGCAGGTTAGCTTACGTACAGCTTGACTACATCTTTCCACCGTGTAACGTTTACGTAACAATGAAACCGCGTTGAAGGGCTTCATTTAGCGGTCGGAGCCCCGCGGCAGCCCCGTCTCACACCCCCTTCCCTCGGCCAGCAGCCATGAACGTGAACCAGGGGACGGTGGGAAGCGACCCGGTCATTCTGGCCACGGCCGGATACGACCACACGGTCCGGTTCTGGCAGGCCCACAGCGGGATCTGCACCAGGACGGTGCAGCACCAGGACTCTGTATCCATACTCTCACTGTGAAAACGGGTGGACGGCAGCAATTCAACTCCACGAGAACATGAAACGGAGCGGACGGTAGAAAAGTGGCATTAAGATCTTGTATCTTTGTTATTCTGTCATGTTGTTTAATGTGAAATATGATCATTCAAAACCACCACAACCATCCACTTCCTTAGCATCGGCTTCCAGCAGGTAAACTCCCTCGAGGTCACACCTGACCGGAGTATGATTGCAGCAGCAGGTTGGTTCAGAATGTCTCGCCGCCCTCCTGGACTTCATAAGTGACTTGAGCCATTTACCTTACGGCCGTCGCGCTCTGCTTTGTAGGTTACCAGCACATCCGCATGTACGACCTGAACTCCAACAATCCCAACCCGGTGATCAACTACGACGGCGTTAGCAAGAACATCACGTCTGTGGGCTTCCACGAAGATGGGCGCTGGATGTACACGGGCGGAGAGGACTGCATGGCTCGCATATGGGACCTCAGGTACAGCAAAGGAAGCCGGCGTGGGCCGACGCGCGTTCACTCCGCGCTCTAACTCCCGTCCCTGCCGCTCCTCCCAGGTCAAGGAATCTGCAGTGTCAGAGGATATTCCAGGTCAACGCTCCCATCAACTGCGTGTGCCTGCATCCCAACCAGGTGAGACATGCGCACTGCTGCGTCACTGGTTGACTTGTTTATTTCGGCCGCGTTCTCATAAGTCGGCGGCAGCCTGTGAGCTCAGAGATGTCAGTTAGCGCTCGTTGTTGGGTGTGTTTCCAGGCGGAGCTGATCGTTGGAGACCAAAGCGGAGTGATTCACATCTGGGATTTGAAGACCGACCACAACGAACAGCTGATTCCCGAGCCGGACGTCTCGGTCAACTCGGTTCACATCGACGCAGACGCCAGTTACATGGCGGCGGTCAACAGCTCGGTCAGTTCTCAAAGCGTCCGAAGGAGGGTTCAAAAGAGGGTACCAAATCATCCAAAGCCTCGTGGATTTCGGCGTTGTTGTTTTTCCTTCACAGGGAAACTGTTACGTGTGGAACCTTGCCGGGGGCATCGGCGATGAGGTGACTCAGCTCATCCCGAAGACGAAGATCCCCGCGCACAAACGCTACTCCCTCCGCTGCAAGTTCAGCCCCGACTCCACGTGAGTGCCCTTCGCCTCCGCACGCTGCGCCTCTCTCTGCGCTGCAGTCGCCGATGACACGCAGCTGTTGTGCTCTCAGCCTGTTGGCCACCTGCTCGGCGGACCAGACCTGTAAGATCTGGAGGACCTCCAACTTCTCGCTGATGACGGAGCTGAGCATCAAGAGTAACAATCCCGGGGAGACGTCCAGAGGCTGGATGTGGGACTGCGCGTTCTCCGGAGACTCCCAGTACATCGTCACGGGTCAGTACGTGAGCCCTGGTAAAACGGACCATCATTGCACCACAACCCTTCTACGCTGAGGTCCTCAGCTCCCCAGATGACCCCACACCTGTAGAGCGTTACCTGAAGCTGTAGTTAGCCAAGCCTAGTTTTTGGTCTTCTATGCAATAACTTAACCTAAAGTTTCACGCTATTGATTTGTCGGTTTATTCTGCATGTTTCGCCACACGTTACTGTCAATAATGTAGGAGCAGTTTTGTTTGGGTTCGGTTAAAGTGGTCCACAGGTTCCTTCACTACAGGCTTGTATGTAGACAAAGAGCCTCTGAGAAACGGGTTCCGACTGAATAAAGCTCTTCCGTCCGCAGCCTCCTCGGATAACTTGGCCCGCCTGTGGTGCGTGGAGACGGGCGAGATCAAGAGGGAATACAGCGGCCACCAGAAGGCCGTGGTGTGTCTGGCCTTCAATGACAGCGTGCTGGGCTGAGGACGAGAGCGATGGACGCTTTGGAAGATGTGCCTAGATGGGGAATTCTGAGCGCCTGAGCGATGCCTGTTTGAGCGTCACGCCGAATCCCCTCAGTGCTCTCACTTGCCAGATGCAGCAAGGCCGAAATCCTAATGCATAAAGTCCAAAATCCATCTGAAAGGCCCAAACTCACTAGTTTGCACCAAATGTAATCGGTGGACCACCAGCGTAGGTGTTAGTGGGACTGAAACACGTTCGCCTTCTGTACTGAACTTGTTTTTGACCCTATTCGACTCTTATTACCGTATTTATTGAATCTAAAGGACCAGACGTTTCACCGTAACTATGATCCGCGTGTCATGTGTCACATGTACGATGCGTTTAATGCTCTTTATTCAGAGGTAAGTTGTGCTTCTCCGTGATCACGTGTTGAAAGGAACTATGTGCAGAAAATGACTCTGTAGTAAATACGTTGTTCAAAAGAACGGAGCTTTGTCTTGTTTTCAGTCTAATGAAGAAAAATTTGCCTCAAATACACAAGTTGTTTATTTCGTGTAAAAATAAATCGTACGATGCGACTGGAAACGGTTACATGTGATCATACAGCTGCAGTGAGTTACAGGAAATACAATTGGTTAAAGGGGGATCTTTGTTCTGAGGTTATTACACATGAGGAGTGACGACGGGGCTCTGGCGATAACGGCGACAGCCTGTCTCCATCGCTCTGACGGGGGGGGGGGGCGGCCGCTCCACTGGTTCGGCACGAAGGAAACCGTCAAAGGCGGCTTTTGTTTTTTGTTCTCTCTCGCGGAGGGAGCTTGGGCTGGGAGGAAGAGGAGCGAGGAAGAGGAGCCGCGTCACTCCGGCAGGTAGTAGAAGCACACGGACACGCAGATGTCGCTGGGAAAGCAGATGTCGATGCAGAAGTAGACCAGCCTCTGTCTCCCTGCACCTGAACACAACACGCAGAGGCTTTACATCACCGTGACAACGTCAACCATGAAGGATGCATCGGAACTTTGATATTCAACGGTTTTAGTTTTTCTTTCGCAGTGAAGAGTTTGGACAGAACTTTTGACTGGAGTAGAAATTCCCCCTCATATAATTTGCAGTCACATGTTGATGATGAATTGGTAATATTTACACCAACGTGTAGTCAAATTGAGGAGTGCGGTTGTGAAATGTATTTTTACAGTAGTGTCATAGATCAGTTTGTGTGACGCGTTGGTTCTTTGTACCGGCTGGCTGGTTGTTAAAGCTGCGTGCGTACGGACAACAAACCCAGAACTCGATATTACTCATATCTCCGATAACGTGTCATTTCACATGTTCTTCCAAATGTCACTTTATATTTATCTTATCGTGTCCACATTGTGAAAGTGTCTATAAATACTGACGGCATGAAGCATGAAGCCCATTTGTTCTAAAACAAGTCTAAATATTTCATACACGTGTGCTGTTATTCAGGGGTAAGATGATGATGTCACCATGTCAGAGAGGGGATCACTTCTCACCTTCGACCCTCCTCGTCCAGTGGACGGCGCTGTCCCGACACAGAGCCCGGAGCGGCCCCCCCAGCGCGGACGCGTCCACCCGGCCGGCCGCCAGCACCCCCAGGAACTCCGTCTGCCTGCGGGTCTCATTGCCGGACAGCCGGATCGGACTCTGGCGAGGACGCAAGGAGAACGAAGGAAGGTCTCGTGATGGTTGATGATGTGAGGAGCACTCGAGCTGCTTGGAGCCCGAAACATTCGTGCTTCTTTGTATTTTGAACCAATCAGTGGGCTCGAGCGGCGCCTTTTACTCTTCACTGCAAAAACACCAAGAGGACCATTGTGCAGAATAGAGGGAGGGATTAAAGGGCCCCAGTAAGACGTGGGGATCTGGATGCGGGGGGGAGGGGGGAGGGGGGGGTCTGGTGCTACCGAGGCCTCACATCATCACCACGCTGCTTATCATGTCGTCCAATCACAGTCAGGAATCAGAGAGACTCTGAAGGCTCCGAGTCAATATTAGAGCTCCAGGTGTTTGTCACAAAGGGGGGGGGGCAGCCTGTAAAAGGCCCTCACAGAGCGGCCTTTGTGCGCCGCCGTGGAGCCTCCTGTAAGAAGACCCTGGGCACGCCGTGGGGGGGCGATCCCGGGATCAGATGTGCGGAGGAATTCAGCCCGGGAGGGGGCTGTACACCCCCTTGTGTGGCCCTCTCCTTGTGAGGTGGGTCAACCCTCCCGGCTCAGCGGCGCCACGAGGTCATCGGTGCCAGCTCACGCATTAGAGGGCGAGACGTTAAAAAGGGGGGCCAGCGGTCTTACTCCCCCGGGGGCCTTTCGTCCTAATTAAGTCTCGCGTGTCCCGGACGCAGCGAGGGGGGGGGGGGGGTATCCTCTCGCGCTGCGCGGCGGGGCAAAGGTCGCCTGCACGGTTTACCTTGAGCGCGGCCTCGCCGAGGAGGGAGCGCGCGTTGTCGTAGTCGGACGGCTCCACCTCCGCAGGAAGCAGCTGTCTGCTCCACGGGCTGTAGCATATCACACCCCTGCAACACAAACGGCACCGTCGACCCCCCCGCCAACATGACCACCATTCACCGCCCCCCCACATACGTGTTGACGTCAAAGAGCACGGTGGAGTATGGTTGGCAGGCGAGGTCACAGAAAAGGTCACCAGGTCGTGTGCTGGTCCACAACGGCCGACTGGTTGATCAGAACTCCGGACTGATCCGGAGCCGTGATCCGGACGACCTGTAGAGCCTGCGGGGGGAGGCGGGGGAGGCAGGGGGGGGGTTAGTGAGAGCCGCTCAGCTCTCAGGTGGGACACGACGTGGGCGACGAACAGGCTACGTACCTGCCCAGACGGTCCCAGGTGACCCGTGAACCACAGCGCGGCGGACCACCAGGAGCAGAGCGGCCGACATGCTGACCCAGAAGGCTTGTGGGGGAAGTGGGACCGGGGGGGCGCAGCAGGGCCCCCGTCCTGAAGAGGGGTTTCCACACATGAGCAGCGACGGGCTTTACTTGTCGATCTGTAGCAGGCTGGCGGACGTTTTACGCGGAAGAACACCTGCGGGTCTCAACCCGTCACGCAACCGCCCCCCATGCAGCGCGCAGCGGCATGTAAGCTACACACGCGTGTTCCCAGTCGGCGGCTCGCTTACCGTGCACGGCTCTTCCTCCAACGTTTCAACACGCCGCCATCCTGTGTCCCGTGACGGCTCCTCACTCAGGTCGGCACCCTTTCTGCTAGCTAGCGGCATGGAGCCGTGGTCATGACTGAGAGGCAGGACACACCTGGGCAGCTTCTCTTTGTGCCTGCAGCCCCCCCCCCCTCTCCCCCTGTGCCCCCCCCCCCCCCTCCCAAACCAGTCACAGGTTTGCCAAACTCAATTCACGAGGTCTCGTCTTCCTGCAATTTCCTCCTCCTTGTCTAATGTGACTTGTTAAGCATCTCAAAGGTTATCCATCTTTGCAACACACACACACACACACACACGTAAGAGAGGAATCAGTGCCGCCCCCCCCCCCCCCCCCCCCCCCACCCCGGCAGCCAGGACAATGGACAAAGAGGGTGAGGCAGGTGCAGCTTGCAAAGAGTCTGTCGTCGGCTGAGGGGTGATAGACGCATGCAGCCGACGAGAGACCAAGGTGACTTTAAGGCCAAGCGGGGGGGGGGGGGGGGGCTTTTGTTCACTCAACTCCCACCCAGAGAGAAAACACGTGCACACAAAGATGGCGGGGTCTTTTTTATTGAGCATTGCTTACAGTGAGGAGCAGAGAATAAAGACGAGACCGATGAAGCTGTTCCATTAATCTCTATTACACCGAAGGTGTGACATCATCCATAAAACAGACCTTTGGCCTCCGTCTATAGACTCAAACAGCCGTAGACCGGCACACACTCGCGTATCCAAACTGGTGTTGACCCATTGTGCTCATTTCCGTCCCTGAGTTTGACTTGCTGCCGTTGCTTAAGAGGAGATTGCATCACAGTCTGCGTCTTAAAGCACGTTCTCACTTCCCCAAAAGAAACACAATTAAACACTAAATGATTTGTATGTTCTTATTAATAAATTAACTTATCATGTTAAATCAGCGGGTTAATGGTGGTTAAGTTAAATAATGGAGTCTTTGTCTCTAGCTGATCGGCTGTGACTTCGTTAAAGAGTCGATTGATTATTTTAATGTGACAAAAATATATATTTATTCCCTTTAAGAAGACGTTGGAGCAGTAGAGTTTCACCCCTGCAGAGCCGGAAGCAGGTCGGCGATGCTCTCCACGTAATAATCCGGCACCATCCCCTGCCTGTCGGCGCAGCCGCTGCGCTGGTGGGCCTCGGCGTCCGCCACAGTGCTGACCCCCGTGAGCGTGAGCAGGGTCTTCAGGCCGCAGTTGGAGCCCAGCATGATGTCCGTGTCCAAGCGGTCGCCCACCATCAGGCAGCGGCCGGGGTCCACGCCGAACTTGGAGGCCACGCAGTCGAACATGAAGCGGTTGGGTTTGCCCACCGTCTGGGCCTGGCGCTGCGCCGCCATCTCCACGGCGTCCAGCAGGCAACCGGTACCTGGAGAGGGGGGAGGGGGGGAGGATCACTTAGGCCCTTTTTAGTGAGGTCACCTTTAACCCGATTGGTCACACCTGTGCTGTCACCCGTGCGACCACTAACTTGGCAGCGAGCGTCCCTACCTGGGACGGCCTTGCCCTCCTCCAGGGGCAGCCTGGAGTCCCGGTTGGTTCCCACGAACAGGCAGCCTGGCCGGGCCAGGTACTGCATGGCCCGGTTCACCTTCATGAAGCTGAAATGTTCGTCGAACCCGACCACCACCGCCTTCACGTCGGGGTCCAGGGGCACGTTGGCCCAGTCGCTCGGCCTCCCGGAGACGTGGTCGGGTCCCACGCCGGTCTGCCGGATGCCCACCGCCTCCAGCTCCCGCGCCATGGCCTCGCTGCCGACCAGGTAGACCTTCCCCCCCTCCAGGCGGCACACCGCGTGCAGGTAGGCGGCGCAGCAGAACGCCGTGCTGAACACCTCGTCCTCCGCGGCGCGGAGGCCCAGCGCGCTCATCTTCTCCGCGTACATCTTCCGCGTCTTGGTGCTGTTGTTGGTGACGAAGAAGACCCTCTTCCCCTTCTCCTTGAGCAGGTTCACCACCTGGGGGGCGCCGGGCACGGCCTGCTCCCCCCGCCAGATGACCCCGTCGCAGTCGAACAGGACGCAGTCCACCGAGTCCAGCACGTCTCTCACGAGCGCGCCGCTCAGCCGCGCGCACTTGGACCCGGACATCGGGTGACGTCAGGTCAACAACAAAAAGCAACGGCCCGGGAGTGACGTCAGTGACCGCGGTCAGTGAGCTCGGTGCTGCCGCTGATCCGTTACGCCGGAGTGCTGGTGGGATTCCGCCGCAGATAAAGTCCCGACCTTCCGTCGGTGCGTCGGTTTACTTCCGCACCGGCTTAAAGGGGCCGCGGCCCCGCGGAGACCGCGTCGCTCCACAGTCCGTTATTGATTAAACCCGCGGGGGGGGGGGGCGCGGACCCACCAGGGCCCCACCGCTCACAACCCGAATGCGTCTTTACGATGAATTAAAAAGGCTCGCAGCCTCTGATAGAAGCTCGCTGTCCCTTTAAGAAATCGGCCTGGCGTCGAACTACAACTCCCATGAGTCATCGGGGGTAAAAGTGCGTTCCGGAGCGCCGCCCTCGTTGACCTCCTGGCTCCCCAATGGTATTTTATGGAAATGATTTATTTAAATCCCAGAGTAACAATAAATTATACCAATGTCTGATACGAAGGTACATTAACATTTCTCAAAAGCTGATTCCGTACTGAAAAAACCCAAAACATAACATGAATTGTTAATTTAATTAACAGACAACGGCTTTATCCAACAAAGATCACCATTGTGTGCATAACTTTTCAATAAGCCTTAAGGGAGATCCACACCAGAGCCCCCATACACTCAGTTCAGTTAACAGCAGTTCTCAGAGACAGATCTTCTTCAGCTGAGTTTCTTCTGCACAGGTTTGGGGGGGAAGAGGATCTCCTCCAGGTTTCGCAGCAGCCCCCTGCTGTAGTGGTTTCTTTTAAAGTGGTCCGGCGCCGGGCCACGCAGACGGTCCGCTGTGGCATCTGGATGGCAGTGCTGACACGTGTAGCCTCGACTCTTGTACCACTCGTTGGAGGTCTGGTTGACCAGAGCCAGGTAGAAGTGGAACAGGGCGTAACCCGCCAGGAGCAAGAAGACGAAGACCAGGAATCCCAGCATGAAGACGATTCGGGGGAAGGTCAGAAACAGGTGCTGGAGGGGCCGCGGGAGAAAAAACAAATCCTTTCAGGTCCACCTTGAAAATGACATGGGAAATGATCACTGCTCACCTGTCTCACCTGTGCAACAAACAGAGGCCCCGCTGGCTGTTGCTCGCCGTACTCGTCGACATAACTGGCCCTCAGAAGCCCCGACCGCAGCACGGCGTGAAACAGCATGTCCCCCGTCAGGACGGCCATGTCGCCCGCCATGGCGCACACGCTGAAGAGGTAGAGCAGGAAGTAGCGCGTGTTCCGAGCGCCGATGCAGTTGTTCACCCAGACGCAGTGGTGGTCGAAGCGTTGGACGCACCGGTCGCAGACCCCTGAGACACAGACGGGCGTTCGCGGTGAGCACTGAGCATCTCTCCGCGTTGCCGCTGGAATCGATATCGATATATATATATATTGCTCACGGCAGTGTTTGGAGCGAGCCGGTTTGATGAGCTGGCAGGTTTCACAGGAGACTCCCGGGTGAAACAGCCTCCCGTCGTAAGGATAGAGGCTCAGCTGGCCAGAGATCTTCTTCTTCGTCACCGTGCCTGCCGTCGGAGAGAGTGGATTACTGCGGTCATGTCCTCTGAATGGTCAAATTTACTCTGAATTAGCTGAAGTCAACTCAATACGACAAGCGCCTCATAACAGCAGTAATTCAGACCTGCATCCCTCTTTGAGTCAGTGAAACCGCAGATTTCCAACATGAAAAGGCCGTATTAGGTCATTATTCATGCGACTCTATAGCTCACACCCCAACATGTCAGGCTCCTAAAATGTGTGACAATATGTGTATATGTGCCCTTCAGCTCAAACACTGACCCGGATCCCTCCTGGCGCAGAGGTAGAAGAAGACGGCCTGGAGGACCAGCAGGACATACGGCACGGTCAGGTGGGTCAGGGTGGTGTCCATCTCCCTGCAGAAGCCAAACACCTCGTAGGTGAACTCTGCGTACACGGCCCCCTCGAGCAGCACGTGCAGGTAGATGAACATGTTGTTCCTGCGGTCGGAAGCACACGGAAACGCATTTAAAAGCACAACATCAGCCTGCGGACATGACGACGACGTCCGGGAGAACGTGGATCGCGCACCGTCGGTGGAACAGCCGGTGCAGGGTCCTCTGGCTGAACCTTTGGAGCCATCGCGGCGTTATTGGCGCGACCACCTGGGACGAGAGTTGCGAGCGCGTTAAAGTGCGCCGTGGCGGGCTGCAGCGCCGCGGCGCGTCCGCCGGTGGAGGTGCAGTGACCGGGCGCCGCGCTTACCTTCCCCACGGAGCCGAGGAGGACGCCGAGCGGGGTCTGCTGCCGCCCCGAGTGCTTGCAGACCAAGGCTATGCACGCGAGCACCACGGCGACGTAGCCGCGAACAGGGTGAGGAAGTCCATCGCTCACCTGGCGTCGGAACAACAACAACAACAACAACAACAGGTGTTTTCTACTGCAAACTCCACGTGCAGGTGGAAAACTCAACAAGAAGCTGCATCCGGGTCACTATTCGGTTCCCGTGTGTGTTTAAACACGGCGACGGGAACTTTAAAATGGAACAATAGTCTTCTGCCCTCAGTGAACACATCTGCGTAGCATGCTACAGCAGCACGCGTCGGCTCGCGCTCCACCGTCGCTTCCTTTACGCCCTGAACGTGACGTCACCGCGCACCTTCTCCCACAGGTAACGCGGAGCGGCCCAGCGTAGCTGTTATCGTTACAGGCTCCTCTGTACGCTAGCTGCTTCCTTAGCATCCATGTAGCTACATTCCAAGCTAACCGCTAAAGGGGCGGTTCCAGCCTGCTGGAGGGAGGGAGGGGGGGCGGGGTCAGGAGGAGAGGGGGGAGGGACCCGGCAGCAGCCTCATAAAGACGAATAGTCAGAAGCTTTTGAGCACCATGACAGCCCAATGTGTCCAGTCTCCTATGCGCGTATCACACATCCTATATTCAGAAAGCACAAATTCTTCTTCTATTCTTTAGGATCTGAACGCACGCGACATCTTGTGTGCAGGAGGAGAAAATGTCACGAGAGCAACACAGGAGGCCTCCGCTTAAACGGAGGATGCGAGAGGTCCGTTTGTCACACGCAAAGATCACAATATTCACTCCCAAGTCAGACCTCAAATCAAACCCCTCATCAGACCCCCCCCAGTCTCCACCACACCGAGTCGTGTTTCCCCACAGAGCCACGAGGCCTCACAGGACACCTGTTGGGTCTGGTTGCCGACATGGAGCAACACTCGTATTACAGCTCGCCGTCCCGGAGACGGGGAGGGGAGCGTCGCTCCGGAGCTCTGCACGGGCTTTCTGGATGCTGTTTAAACAGGTACATGGTGTGTGTGTGTGTGTGTGTGTGTGTGTGTGTGTGTGATGGTCATTTTACATTATTCTCATGTTGTGAGTCACACGGCATCATTTGCTGTTTCAGGTGAGGTTTCAGAATACTTATTCTAATAATGCTGACGTCCTGCTTCTTATGAATAGAGATTATTGTAAAAGGCTGAGACTCAGTTTGGCTGTAAAATGTCTTTTGTCTGTCTCATCTTCTCACACTGAGTAACTGTTGTGTCAGACGAGTCTGATGGGATTCAGTCTGAAACAGCCGCTAGTCATTAACTATTTAGTTGGTGCTGGACTCGCTGTTACTTATTGAGTTATGACAGTTTGCGCTTAAATAACCTACAAATCCCCTCAACACTTTCTCCTCCGCTTCAATTTAATGTCATTAAACATTCTTTATTATATCTCCTTTACATAGTCGCTGCTTTTCAAGAGGGGAAGTAACTTACTCAAGGAAACAGGGCAGTTGTTACGCAGTAATTTGAGCCATCGCTGTTATGGATCCATACGGGCGGCTTCATGAAACGTTTTTAGTCTGCGAGATATTTGGTCAATTACAACATTGAAGCACAAGGATTTCAGATTTTTCAGAAAAATGTTGTTACAAAAAACCCTCCAATACTAATAATACTACTACTAATAGTGCGTGTCGTATGCACAGGTGAGTACAGTTGCACGGTGAGTGTTCAACGAGGGGTCGAAGCATGTGTTGCGTTGAAGATCCAGCTCATAATCCTGCTAATCCCCCCGGCTGAAGTCTTCGGTTGCCCCCCCCCACCGCTCCTCACGTGACGCAGCGACGCAGAGCGATTCTGGGACAGCAGCGGCCCCTCGGAGAGCCACCTAGGCAAGAGAGGAGGAGGAGGAGGCAAAAGAACGGTGTATTTATAGAAAAATGAGGCCTCACAATAGCCTTTTTGGAGAAGGAGTCATTAAGGAACAGAGGTGCCCGGGTGCATGCGTCCCACTTTTCTGATTAACACTGCGAGCGCGAAGAGGAATCGGGGACGAGATGCTGCACCGACTCCCTGACACACTCGCAGAGAGACGGCCTCCCTCCTCATGCACACTCACGCTTATGCGCACGAGGACACTGCTGTGGGTTCAGGGTGGACAAATGGGCCGATGTTTCCACTTTGACTTTGGCTCTTGGCCCTTGTTTTGTTTTTTTTCGAAAGTCTGAGAAGAGCGACTGGACAGCCGGCTGCCAGCAGGCCGCCTGCTATTTGACACCCAGGATGAAGAAGTTTTTGCAAAACAAGAAGGGCCGGTACTCTCTCCGGCGGGGCTCTCGCTGTCCATCCAAGGATTTCTGTAAGTCTCATCGGCTCATGCGTGTGCATGTGTGCGCGGCCACGTTGGAGCATCGTTACCTGCTGAGAGGCTTCATATTTGACCAGATTTAGCAAAAGCAAACTGCATTGTGGATCATCTCCATCTCATGTCCATCCCATGCGGTTGTTATTTGATGGCACTTTGCACCTCGACCCTGCTTAGGAACGAGGGCCAGTGGTTTGCTCTCTTTTTGCACAACTACCATTAAACAGGATCAAAGAACAGGAAGCAGCTGGAGGAACTTTTGTCTCTGGAGCTAATTAAGGTCACAATCTCTGCGCTGCTTAATTTGATTGGCTGGCGTTGGGTTTGTGAACCAGGTCAGGGACCGCTGGGTGTGTCACGGTTCAGGCTAGAGGGTTACAGACGCACTCCATAGCACCACTGGAGACACTGGAGACAGCAGCAGGGAGGAGAAGAGGCTTCCAACCGGAGCCGCAGACGATCGTTTGATCCAAAGGTTCTCTTTGCAATGTCCATAGACTTGACGGCTTTGGCGCCGGCGGGTAAGCGCTCGCGTCCGGATGAACGCGTCCTCCGTCCTCAGCCTCCCGGTTCGTCATCTCACATCTTACACGTCCCTCATTCTCACGTCTTCTCTCTCTCCCCCTCCTCACCCGCTGTGTCCCGTCCTCTCAAGTCCTCAGCATGCCGTCGTCCAACCAGGCGTGGCCCGATGAGTTCGGCTTCCAGCTGGGGGGCAGCGGGCCCAGTTACATCCTGTCCGTGGAGGAGGGCAGCAGCGCCCACCTGGCGGGGCTGCAGGCGGGGGATCAGGTCCTGGAGCTGGAGGGCCACAACGTGTCGACGCTGGCTCCCCAAGCGGTCGTGGCCATCGCCCAGACTCAGAAGAACGTCCCCCCCAGCATCGGAGTGGTGTCCCGCATACAGCAGGTCTACTACTTGCTCACTGATCCGGACGGCGTTTGTGTTCCCCCCGTTTGAGAAAGACGGTAACATCTGTCCCGCGTTGCAGATGGACATCATACCCGGTCCGGACGGACGTTTTGGCTTCACCATCGTGGGAGACTGCCCCCTGCTGGTTGAGGACTGCTCGCCCTGCTCGCCGGCCGGCCGGGCGGGTCTGAGAGCCGGGGATTACGTCGTGGAGGTCGACGGCGTCCCCGTCCGGCAGCACGAGGCGGCCGCGGCGATGATCAAGGCCTCCCAGGGGAGGACGCTGCGCCTGGGGGTGCTGTGTCTCGGGCCCAGGCAGAAACACGGCGTCGGCGCCGAGGACGGCCAGACGGGGGCGGAGGGAGCGAGGCTGGACCGCAAACATAAAGCTCTGGAGTTCAATGCCAGGGTACGTTTGCGTGACCGTCTAGTTACGTGTGAAGGACACGTGATGCTGAATCCAACCAGGTTCTCAGCAGCTCCAAGACCAAAACGTCAATCTGTGTTCTTTTTTTCATATGCATATGAAGTGTCTTCACGGTAACACCGACCGGTCCTCCCCCTCTAACGTCTTCGTACCCTCGCCGACAGGTCGACCAGATTTTAGGCGAGGAGCCCGAAGTGAAGGAGAAGCTCTTCACCGCGCTGAAGCAGTACGCCGCCGAGAAGCGGGTGGAGTGGCTCGCCTCCGTCCTGCCCGACGTGCTCGCCACCGACGAGCACCGGCAGCTCATCTCCAGCATCCGGTGAGACCCGGTCCCGGTTGCGCCGGGAAACCGCTTAGCACACGATCAAGGTGGAGGTGGAGGGTGAAGAATGGTGGAGCAGCATCCGGCAGTCTGAGACACATTCAATGTAACCGAGGCCTGAATGTGATAGAATGTGATAGAATGTGATAGATAGAATGTGAATGAATGTGATATAATGTGGATAGAATGTAAATAGAATGTGATAG